GCATTCAGACCCTGGGAAGGGACTGGGAAGGCAGAGCCAACTGGCTGGGGGTCAGTAGCCTTTTCTTACACCCAGGCTCTGTTGGGACTGTCTCCAGTGCCTTCAGGATCCAGGTCTATGCACTGAAGACTAGCCACTCTATAGCCCAATCTGCCCTGGGGTTCAGGCTGCAGACCAGTACACCTTGTGGAAAAATCTCTAAAATGCCACATTTTGAGTAAGAAAAATATTAAAAATATGAGAACTGGGCCAGCCTGTTGTGTAGTGGTTAATGCAACTGGATTCCACATGGAAAGCTATGCGGTTTAAGTCCCTGACCCAGCAGCTTGAAAAACATACTGGGTACGTGTGTGTGCATGCCCAAAATCTCAAATGGAGAAAGAAATGGGGGAGAAAAGACTGTGGCAAGCCCATTTCCAGCTTTATCACTTCTCCCACCCCATCTCTCTCAGGCAAGTGCACGTACCCTCTGGCAAATTTTATTTTTTAAAAATATGAGAACCTCCTTTAACCACAGAAATAAACTTGTGGTAAGAAGAACAGAAGGGGAGAGACTTGGGCCCTTCAGGAGGAAGAAGCAGAATTGGCCCTAGGCTGCCCCCACCTGTCCACATGCAGAGAGAAAGGATCTGAGAGACACCCCAACCCAGATCTCACCCAACCAGAGGCCTGTGACTCTCTTCTCACTATCCACCCAAGAGTGAATGTTTAAGTCTCTGTACCTCCTGTCTTCTCTGAGGGTTTTCCCATCTTGGAAATGAGCTGCCCCCTTCTGGAGAAGGTGGATATCGTTGTAACATGGACAGTCCTTGACTGAGCAATGCCTGGTGACACCAAGAGCTCACCGTGGTATATGGTACCACAGCCAACCATAGGGCTAAGTGAGCCACTCATGATTCTTCTAACAGAAAGGAAAAGGTCACTCTAACTTATCACAGAAGCTCAAGTTAGGACCTGGCCTCACCCTGGACCATAGACATCCAGAATGGAAAGTGGATGGGTTGTAGGATATGGGCAGATGACAGCTGGGCTGAGAGCTGAGATCAGAGAGCAGGGACTACAATGAGATGAAGATCCTGGGCCTAGGAACAAGGATAAGGAGGGAAGGAAGATCAGGAGTCTTTTACAGGGGCTGATAAGAACACAGAAGTCTCTAAGGGCCTCTGTTTCCTTATCTACAAACAGGTGATAAGAGTAGAAGTTACACTCCCAGAATTGTGCAGAGAAAAGCATTATTCAGGCAAAATGACCGGTTAGTTTCTGGCACACAGTAAGTATGAAGTAAGTTCTCACCATATTGTCATTGCTATTTCTTTTTTTTTTTTAAGTTTTATTATTGGGCTGGCCCCATAAGTGTTAACATGCTATGCATTGGAAGTCAGAGCCCACATAGCTGACCATGGTTTGAGTCTCAGCCTCAGCAGCTAGAAAAACGTGTGTGTGTGTGTGTGTGTGTGTGTGTGTGTGTACGCACCCCAAATCCTGATGGGATGGAGAAATGGAGGGAAAAAAGATTGTGGCGGGGGGCACGGTGGTTAAAGGCACTGGACTCCCACATGGGCTGCCACGGTGTAAGTCCCAGACCTGGTGGCTTGCTTT